AGCATGTTTCATAAAAACCTCAGTGCTCGTTCCACAGCTCTCAAAACCTCCACATTACAAATATTTATTGCTTGATATCTGCATTTTAAAAATTCCATAAATCACCAATTTAGATATTAACATTTACACTATTTCTTCCCAGGCCAGGGCTCACCAAGGAGAGGCCATGTTCAGTTTCAGCAACAAGATCGTGAAAGCCAATGGCAAGAAGCTGGAGGAATTTGAGTCCCAACATCTCCCAGGCTCTGCTGGAGCTAAATATCACATTAGCCAAGAAAATTGAAGTTGGTGACTGTTGGAGAACTATTACCATCTTTGTTCCTGTTCTTTAACTGAAATATTTCCAGAAAATCCAAGTCCAGCTGGTATAAGAGTTGGAGAAAAAGCTGAGTGGGAAGCATACTGTCTTTATTACTCAGAGAATTCTATCCAAGCTAACTCTAAAAAGCCATACAAAAAATAAGCAAGCGTCCCAGAAGCTGTACTCAGACTGCTGTGCACGACATGATCCAGGAGTTCTTGATTGTGGGCAAAAGAATCCACATGGAACAGCATGGCAGTGGGCTCATGAAGGTTCATTTGGATAAAGCCCAGAACAAGGTAAAACACAAGGTTGAAACTTTTCCTGGTGTCTAAGAGAAGCTCATGGGCAAGGATGTTAATACTGAATTCCCAGAATTTCAGTTGTAAACAAAAATGATTAAATAAAGTATCAGTCCCAATAAAAACTTATGGTATGCTTAGGTACTTTCATCCTCACCCAAGGATATTTCTTCCACTTATCCTTAAAAAGAGTAGGAGGAGGAGAGTTGGGGGGGAGGGAGGAGGGGGAGAGAAACATCTATATGAGACACACATCAATTGGTTGCCTCCTGCATATGCTGACCAGTCAGGGATCAAACCTGCAACCTAGGCACTAGCCCTTGACTGGAAATCATCAAATCTGGTGTGTCATGAGCCAGCATTCTAACCATACTGGCCAGAATACTTTCATATTTTTAAAGTAAACCCATCAGAAACTGGTATTTCAGCAATAGATTAAGTTTAAAAATTTTAATACTCAGTATTTTAAAAGTCAAAGTTATTATTTCCCAACTTGAAACAAGATATGAATATTCTATTTGGTGGGCTTGTTTTATATAAACAAGCAATTTTTACAGCATAGTAGTATATAGTACATACAGTAAAGACTTTAGAACTTCTGCTTAGAATAGTCTTGAAAATTTTCAACTTTATTTCTCAATTTAAATTAATAAATGTGAAGAAAACTATCATGCTGTTCTACTCTTCTCTATACACACATTTTAAAAAATGCAAAATGAACACTGGTGGGAAATATTCCAAAGATTCCCACACAAACATAAGCAGCCACATATACTATATTATACTTTGGAAGGGAGAGTTTTAGTTACCAGATCTCAAGACTGGTGCTCTTTCCACTTTACATTTTTTCACCTTAATTCTTGTTATCAAGTTAACAATATATCTCTAGCAGAAACTTGCTTATAATCAGAGTAAGGCTGATGCAAAGAGTTCTGGCTCTATAATTTGACTTTTTTTAGGTTTTAAATTTTATTTGGTAGTAGTTTCTTAACATGATGCTTTGACCATATACTAGGTACCCAGAGGTCAATCAATACTGTTCTTTTAAGTAACACTACACTAAACAAATCACCTCTATTTGATTCTCTGCTTTTCTCCAATGGTAACAATCTACTAGTAAATGATAATGAAAAGATTACAGAGAAATACTGCAGTGCTTCAAAGAGTTGCACAAAGTTAGATTATATAAACCTTTGAGTGGATCATAAAAAATTATGAGTTGCTCTGAAAGAAATGCAGGTGCCTCAGCACTTGACTGTCCTGATGTGTAACCTCTACTGTGGACAGGAAGTCACTGGCACAAAATATTGAGACACAGAATGGTTTCCTAAAGACAAAGGTGTCAGATAAGGGTACATTTTACCTCCCTTTCTGTTTAATCTGTACCTAGAACATATAAGAAAAACTAAGCTAGAGGCTCAGAGGAAGAAGTAAAAATTGGGTGAATAGCAATCACTTAAGATATGTGATAACACCATCTTACTGGTGGAACGTAGCAATGATTTGAAACGACTTCCAATGAAACTGAAACAAGAAAGTGCTAAAGCAACCAGGCCAGCATGGCTCAGTGGCTGAGCGGTGACCTATGGACCAGGAGGTCCCAGTCAGGGCACATGCCTGGGCTGCAGGCTCCACCCCCAGTAGGGGGCATTAAGGAGGTAGCTGATTAATGATTCTCTTTCATCATTAATGTTTCTCTATCTCATTCTCCCTCTTTCTTCCTCTCTGAAATCAACAAAAATATATTTAAAAAAAAAAAAAAGGAAGTGCCAAAGCAGGACTGTATTTGAACATTAACGAAGAGAAGAAATGAAGAGAAGGCTAAGACTCAGAAGGGCGCAATCTAAGTATTAGAAAAGATCGCCAAGAGCAAAGTTGTGTTATTAGAGACCAAGGCTAATCATCTACACCCCTGTATTTCCTATTACAAAAGTTGGACAATGAAGGCAGCTGCTGGAGAAGGGCTCTATGGATACACTGTACCACTAGAAAGACGGCCAAGTGGGTCCTAGACCAAATTAACCCTGAAATATCACTGGAAGCAAATAAGACAAAATTGAAGTTGTCTAAGGCACATAAGAAAGGATTCTTTGGAGAAGACAATAATGCTGGGGAAAACAAGGCAGTAGGAAAAGAGGAAGACCAAATATGGGATGGAATGACTCCATAGAAGTTATCTGCATAAGTCCACAGGGGCCAAATAGGGCTGGTGAGGACAAGACATTGTGAATATCACTCAGAGTCATCAAAAGTCAGAGGTGACTGAAGGCACATAACACACACGTCAAGAATGATTTCCCAAGCACTAACAAGGACAGAGAACACTCAAGCTAGGAAGATTTTAGGCAGTTATCTTTAGGCAGTTCTTCATTATAATGAAGCTTGTCTAATGACCAAAAAGATAGATAGGACTGAAAATCAAAGGATAGGGTCTGAAGAATGAAAAGCAACAAGGACAGAACATAATTACACAAAAATATGAAATGAAGATTAGTCTAGTTTTGGAAAGTACAGCCTTGACTTAACCCTTAATATTCTTTGTAATTTAAAGGTCTCATGATGAGACTCATTAGCTATACATAAAAAATTAAACATGAATGCTTTAAAACCCTAATGAAGAGCCAATAGGATAGCAGGAACAGAAACCTGACCAAATCATCATAGCAAAACCTACTGGCAATCTTTAAGAAAACTACTTCTAAAAGCCCATCATACCGTGTTCCAACTTCCCTAGCTTTTCCCTATTACAATGAATGTTTTCATATCAACCAACACATTTTTATGAAGTTGAGTCTGAAAATTTTTCTTCACAATCAAGTGTTAAATGCCGAACACTTTATTGCAATCCAAGCCAAAATATTCCAAAATCACATTTGACTAGTATTGCTTTTTGGCTACCGGAAAGACTACTCCTGTGAGAATAGTACAGGTCAGAACTTTTCAGAAAATGCCAACATTATGTCATGCTTTTCTAACATACTGTCACACAATTCAGAAGTTATCGAAGATTAAACCAAAAGGCTAGCACTACCTAAATATATAAACAAAAACATAAATTTCTTTTAAAATGCAATTGTTCCTAAAGGTCATTTCAAGAAAACTATTTGCTAACACCCAAGAATAACAACTCAGGTGAAGACTATTACTCAAAAAGATAGAAAGCTAAATGAAGTTGACCACTTAACTATCTCAGGATAGTTTGATGATTCAGGGTCTGGGGCAGAGGTCTTCAAACTACGGCCCACGGGCCACATGCGGCCCGCAGAGGACTCTGATCCGGCCCGCCAGGTTTTTTGGGCAGTGAGCGCAGCCGAGGTGTTACAGTAGGAATTAGTAGTTCATATAGTCCAGCCCTCCAGCTCTCTGAGGGACCGTGATCTGGCCCCCACTTTAAAAAGTTTGAGGACCCCTGGTGGGGGATGGTGGTGGGATGGGAGAATCTGAGTGCCAAAGACTTTTATCTAAATCAATAGTGGTGGCTCCAGCTACTACCCATATATATCTTACCTGTCCAATTGCAATATGCTTAGAAACTTCTCCACTATCTGGCATTAGGCCTGATCTGGGTTATTAGATGTCTGTACCACAGAATACTAAATCTGCACTTTTTTTGAACTCCAGCATCTATCCAAAAGTCCCTGAACTGAAAGGTCCTAGGTCAGAGCAGTTACCAAGTTAGAATTGCTTTTGCCAGACTAGCAGTATTTTCCTTCCTAACTCTAAAGGAAGAAGGAAGCAGGGACTTGAGACCTAAAACTAATCTGACACTAATTTTTCATTAGTCAAATAAGAGTAAACCTAATAATACACGGGGTCACAGTCCAGGCACTTAGCTAAATGCTTTATTAGTGTTTTATGTACATAATTTCATTTAACCTCACAACAATCTTCAGGAGTGGATAAAGTACTGTGTCTGAGGTTACTTAGTTACAAATATCAGAGTCTGGATTTAAAACTAACCGAAAGAAGATTTTAGTCATTAGTTAAGCATAAGAGGTAAGGCTAGTATTAATATTCTCTAAGCACTAACTAAAAAGTATTCCTAGTTGATCCTCTTAGATTGTTATTGCTAATACCAAGTATATGTTAAGTCCACTATGCAGATATTAAATGACAGATTAAAAAAAGCCATTAACACAATATGAAAACATTTTAATAAAAATCCTGGAAAGACAATTTATTAAATCCTTCGGACATTTTATGGCTTAAAAACGAGTCCAATGAAAACTAATGATTTAACTTCAAAATGATAGGATTTGAGCCAATTTTATTTTTCCCATTTCTGCCATTTTCTAATTTTTTTGTAATAGATGTGTATTAACAAAGAAAAATTTTACTACAAGCACTATGTATAGTCACACCTCATTTTACTGTACTTTCCAGATGTTGCTTTTTTAAAACACAAATCAAAGACAAGGCCCTCTACCAGCAAAATGTCCAAAGTATGCCTGTAGATCAAGAATCTATTAATTCCAACCTTGCTTTGAATAAATGTTTCAAAAATAAGGCACATAAAAGTTTTCTTTAGAGAAATAGCAATATGTGTAAAGCTAGACAGAACAGGGTGATTATATTCTCCAGAACTGTGCTGTCCAATTCAGAAGCCACTGGTCACACATGTAGCAAGTAGGCACATGGGATGTGGCTAGTAACAAATTACAATACTGGATTTCAAAGACCTTTCAGACCTTGCACAAGATTATAGAGAATCATTTTTTAAATATCAAGCACATGTTGAAATATTTTCGATATATTGGGTCATATAAAATATACTCAATTTAATTTCACTTTTACTTCAATATGGCTACTAAAAATCATGTGTGACTTGCATTTGTGGCCTACATTATACTTCCATTGGAGTGCTGACTCTAGGACCTTGTTATTCACAAGCAGCCAGTGAAGTGGGAACCATCTGGGATCTTGTTAAAAAGAGGCAAACCCACCCTGGCCAGTGTTCTCAGCGGCTAGACTTGAGCAGCGTTTTTCAACCGCTGTTCCGCGGCACACTATGTTGCCTGGTGTGCCGTAGGTGCAGACAAGACAAGAATTTTATAATTTTTCACTATTTTGTTTACTTAATATTTCATAATAAAGTAATTATAAAATACTTTGTGTTTATTTGATTCCTATTCAAGAGAATTACTTTATATATAGTCAATATAGGCACAGAGTTAAATTTTTTAACATTTTCTAATGGTGGTGTGCCTCGTGATTTTTTTCATGAAACAAGTGTGCCTTTGCCCAAAAAAGGTTGAAAAACACTGGACTAGAGCATTGGCCTGAGCACCAAAGGGTAGGGAGTTCAATTTCTGGCCCCAGTAGAGGTGTGTGCAGGAGGCAACCAATTGGTGTGTCTCTTTCACATCAATGTTTCTCTCCCACCCCTCCCCCCACCAATCCTTCCCACTCTCTCTTAAAAAAATAAAGAGGCAGATCCTGGGGCCCCACCCCAGAACTGCTGAACTAGAATATGCACTTTAGCAAGATCCCAGGGGATAGTATACGCATTCAAATTTGAGAATCACCATTCAAGAAAAGTGCAATAATTGAAATCATGATAATCCCAATATTATTTTGTCCACCCATAAAACAAATGCACTCCGTTCTTGTGGTTTATATTCCACAAAAGACAAGCAAACATTAACTATTACAGCAGTTCTGTTATAATACTTGTTATGAAAACACAAATTTGCTTGAGTGCTACTGATGTACCAGGAAATTTGAGCACAACACATTATTTCCCACTTACTTATGAGCGATTTTACTTTGAGAAACAATAGTTGCACTCAGATGAACCAAGCTTCACAGGAATTTACAAAGCAACACTCACACACACACCTCTAAAACATCTGCCAACCACTTCAATTCACTTGTATGAGTTGTCATATCCATCCACAATTGGTGTTACAACTTTCAGAGATTTATTTCAGATAACCCTCCTTCCATCACATCACAATAACTTACAAGCTGCAACCCTTTCAAGATGTCCACTTCCACAAACCTATTTCAGATCGTGGTCAAGGTAAATGTCATATGTATTATATTGTTCATGTACTCTTTAAACATTTAATATGGTATGATTTTTGTTAGATTAGTATGCTTTTTAAATGCATCACATTTTTTAATATTTTGCCCATAAACCCCTTGCTATAATTCTGCCTAGTATGGTTACTTTCAGGAACACATTATGCCATGTTATTACAGAATGACTATGAATAAATAACATCAGGTTATGTTAAGCACAAGGAAAGAACAAAGCAGTGAAAAGGACAGACAATGATGGGGATGCCTGTTTCAGAGAAGACCAGGAAGGGTAGAGAAGGCCTCTGTGAGAGGGTGACATTTAAGCAGACACATTACATTACTGAATACCAGGAGGACATACAGAAACAACAACATAATGTACAGAACCTCTAAACAAGAATAGATTTCTTCCTGTGGGGCGAGTATGGACAGAGGAGCACAAACAAGGGGAAAAGTGGTTGAAAAGGCTGAAAAACACCCAGATACCAAGTTACACAGGGTATTTTATAGGCCTTGGTAAGCAACAGTCACTGGAGTGTTCCAAGTATGAGGGTGATGTGAGCTGAGGAGCATTTTAACTGGACCATTCTGCACGAGAAAATAATTGTGTGAAACAAAAAGGATACAGGGACATCATTCAGAAGGCTCTTGCAGAGTCCTGGTAAGAGAAAAGTGGTAGCCAATACTACAATGGTTGTATTTTAAGTACAAGCAAGTACTTGGAATATAATTTGAAGGTGGAGATAAGGTTTTAAGTATAGCAAAGAAACTTGCTTTCCAGTTTCAACAATAGGCTGAACACTTTAATTGGATTATATTATACTTTCACCATTGAAATGGGAATAATCTAACCTATTTCAAACGAATCAGATGACAATGTAAAAAGGGCTCTGAAAATTAAAAAATATCGTATAAATCATAAAAGTAGGCTCTTCATAGAATGTATTTTCAAGCCCCCAATAACTGCTTTTGAAGTAAGTGACATAATTCCAGTTCTTAGTACAAAGTCCAAAGAGCAGAATCCAGTTACAGATGTGGTCCCAGTTACAGAAAAGTTACAGAAATCCTGTAAAGCCCTGGCTGGGTGACTAAGTTGGTTGGAGCATTGTCCCATACACCAAAAAGGTTGCAGTCAGGGCAAGTACAGGAGGCAACCGATCAATGTTTCTCTCTTACATCGCTGCCTGTGTCTGTCTCTCTCTCCCGCTTCTTCTATCTAAACTCAATAAAAACATATCCTCAGGTAGAAATTTAAAAGAAGAATCCCTGTAAAAGATCCCATAGCTCATTGCTATCTTCACTCTTTCCAGCATCCTAACAAAATGATACACTGCATACAACCAAACCACTCTGTACAACAGAATAAGACAATGAACATGTTTAACAGAGGGATAATCCAGAATACATAAATTTTGTGACTTATGCACCAAAATTTTAAGTACATTACACCAAGAACTTTAAATACATATTACACAACTCAAAAATAGTTCAATTAAGACTGCCTTAAAAAATCAAAGTAAAGCCGAGACCGGTTTGGCTCAATGGATAGAGTGTCGGCTTGGGGACTAAAGGGTCCCGGGTTCGATTCCGGTCAAGGGCATGTACCTTGGTTGCGGGCATATCCCCAGTAGGGGGCGTTTCTAACTCCCTATCTTTCTCCCTTCCTCTCTGTACAAAATCAATAAAATATATTTTTAAAAAAATCAAAGTAAACTATTCTAAAATATTTTATTGTGAAATAGAAATATATCATAAATATATAACTATATTTTTAAAAATAGCAAACAATATTTAAAATGTGATGACTAAGACAAATGATGAATGTGTTCAAATATATGCACAATTAGAGCATTTTTTAAATTAAGAAAAAAATGATAAAAACAAAAATATTACTACTGCTAATGTAGCAATCTTTTTATATTTCTTTTAATGGGATAATTGTTTCCTGTGATCTTTTTAAACTAATTTCTGGAAAATCCAAATTATCTGCCTAGTTTACTATCTTTCTATAAAGCACCAATCAATAAAAATAGAAAATATCTATTTCTGATCTTCACTATATAGAAAAATACTTAACACAGTTAATGGTATTAAAATCCAAATTTTAGATTCTGTATAACATTTCTGAGTTGCTTTGAAAACTAGTTTCAGAATGTGAGACCTTAACTTGGGAAAAATGGCTTCTTCCTAGTAAAAATTTGGCAAGCTGTCACATTAAAATTTATTTTTAAAAGTGAAACTCTTAACATGTGATAATTTAGTTTATACACATAAAATGTATCAATGTCAGTGCCCTGGCTTTGAAACTGTACTATAATTAGGCAAAAATGTAGCCACTGGAGAAAGTTAGGTAAAAACATTAAGCAAACTCACCCATTAAACTTGTGCTGTCGTAAATACCAACAAATAAGCTTTCAATACGCTTAATGTTTCATCTGTAACAGCATATTCAATTATTAGAAGGGACTAATGTCTAGACTCAGCTGTCACTATTTGTTTAATTTAAATAGTAAGTAAATTAACCCTCATTTGTAAAACTATAAAAGAGATATTATCTGTTCTATCTGCCAAGATCAAAATGAGGATCAAAAGAGACTTTCTTCATAGTACTGTCTAACATTACAAATGCAACAATCTTTCATTTTATTCAAAACCTAGTTATTAGAATAATCAAAAGTCCATGTCAGACAAATACCACAGTCTATTATCCAATATGAAAAGATTCAAACATTACTACATTATATATAAAAACACCAATTATCTCCAAATGGTCCCACTACACAATTCCTTCAAATACTAATTATAGTAATCTTTGTTTGAAATTAGATGAAAATACATTTCCAAATTTTACCAGATATGGCTAATGACAAAACAAGATAAAAACTTGCACTATGCAGGTAAAAATTTTTAAATCTTTAGAAACAATGGTTACCAAACCAACAAGGATAATTTCCCTTTTTATTAAAAAGATACTTGAATGTTAACTCCAGAGCTATGCAAATGCACTGATTCCCACAAACCAGAGTACCAAAATAAAGAATATTTTTCAATTAACCAACTGAGCTAAGCTATCTGTCCTAAAAAGATGTTTCTAACAAGTAGTCCAAATATGTCTTCTTATATATCTCTTACGTTAATTCCAAGAGGAAAGATGAGAAAAACAGAACAAGCCTCAAGAGGCTGAAGTTTTATGGAATAACTTCCAAGAATCTCTGTAAACATACCCTTCATTCCTAAATCCATTTGTGCTATTATTCTTAAATTTAAATTTACTTGTTAAAATAGAGCTAGTTCTATTAAAAAAAAAAAACAAAGCTCGCGCGCACACACACACACCTACCACTATACACATACTTAAAGCAATTGAAAGGGGTTTAAAACTCAATAAAATATAAATTCAACCTGTACTGTATATTCCCTCTTCTGAGGTTTGACTGTTAGCTGCATCTTTAAAAACAGCTCAGCTGCAAAAAACAAATCTAATAACTGTACCATAAGATTCTTGCTTTTGATCATTTTAAAACAGAAGATTGTATGATTGACAGATCAGAGAATAAAAACTTATTTCCCCTTAATTTACAACAGATAGACTACATCCCCTTAATAATCCTAAGGGACTCAAATATCTAAATCTTTTATATATGCATTCTATGTTGCAATATGTCTTTAAAGATTCCTAGGAGTGACAATTCTCAATCCCTGCTTCCAAACTTTTTATTGTATACCTTAAAAGTCCTTTCTGTGCATTACTTCTAAAGTGTCGCTATTCAAAGAAATCCAAGGTGCCATGAAAAACAGCAGATATAGCCCCAGCTGGTGTGGCTAAAAGTTAGAGACTCAGCTGGCTCATGCACTGAAGGATTGCAGGATCAATTTCCAGTCAAGGGCAGGTTCCACACAGTTGAGGTCTGGGTGGGTGTGAAGGTAACCAATCGATGTGTCTCTTTCACATCAGACATGTTGGTGTTTTTCTTAAAAAAAAAAAAAAAGCAATGGAGCCCTAGAAGGTTTGGCTCAGTGGATAAAGAGTTGGCCTACAGACTAAAGGGTCCCAGGTTCAATTCAGTTCAAGGGCACATGCCAGGGGTTGCTGGCTCAATCCACAGTAAGGGGCGTGCAGGAGGCAACCAATCAATGATTCTATTTCATCATTGACATTTCCATCTCTCTTCCCCTTCCTCTCCGAAATCAATAAAACTATATTACAAAATAAAGAAAATAAAGGGGGAAAAAGCAATGGAAAAAATATGAATGAGGATTAACAAAACGCAACAAAAAAAGATACATTTGTTTAACTCCCTTTGTAAAATGCAAATTACAAATCATAGTACATAGGCTCTTAAATTATTGCATTTACTAAAGTCATTAGATTGTTTAATTCCTAAAATTAAAAAAGTAACAAATCTGAAATCACGTCAATAAACAAAATAGTAACCTATTCTTACATTGTTACTTATACAGGCTGAGAGCATAGATAATCCAACATACTTGCATTTGCCTTAGGATAATGACTTTGACTTTATATAGATGAGTAGATATACAATAGATAATAGATAGGTATATATGTGTGTACACAATACACATATATGTATGTGTATATATATTCCAATTAATATTTAAAGATAAAAACCTAAGGAAATAGAAATGCCTGTAATAAAACTAAACATACACACTTTTTAAAAAGTTTTGTTTCAAACACTTATTAGCAATAAAACACCTGGAATCTAAACTACAATGACTAAGTATTATATGAGAGAAAAATCACCACTTTACATCTTTAAAAGAGAGAATTAAGAAAGATGACTCTCAACTTCTGAATGAAGAAATCCTATTTTATGGTATTTAAAGGAATATGGCAGCCAAGTATTTCAGATTGTACAAATAGGGATGGAGTTATAGTATTAGTTAACAGGCTCCACAGGAAGACAGACAAGCAGCTAAAAAGCAAGTTAGAATGTGAAGCCTAACTCAGCAAATGACTAAACCAGAAAAATAAGAAGTTTCTTACAAATGGAATTAAGAAAAATCAGTAAACAGATACAAATAAAAAGGAAACTAAAAGCCAACAAGAGGTATCTGGAATTCACAAAGAAAGTAAAATTAAATAAAAACAGGAATGAAGAAAAAGTCAGCAGCTATATTACTAACTCAATTACAATCAAAATGAAGAAAATAGGAATTAAAAAGTATGCAGCTACAACACTAACTCTCAAGTAAAGTCTTTAGCTTCAAGGGCAGAATCACATCTTTAACTTCCAGGAATACAACACCATTACTGGCACACAGTGGATGCCCAATGGTTGTTGAATAAATAAGCAACAGAATGTTTTTAACTTGTGAAAGATCTATCAAGCGTGATTCACTGCAAATGTACATCAAGTTCCCTAGAGCACCTAAACTATCTTCTTCCTCCTCAATTTGAGGATAGAATAACCAGATCAGAATCACTAAAAGAGAACCTACATCCTATTTTATCAGTCACCAAATTTTAAACATGAAGCATAATACAGTACAAATAGTACATGCCTTCTAAGAGCTAAAGTTTGAAATGAAAACTGCTATAGAAGAATGATTGATAATAGTATCTTAGACTATACAAAACACTATAGAAAATTTATCCACAAAACTGAAAATATTAATAGTGTAATAGTATCTAAGACATCAAACTCTGAATACTTTAATAACCAAACCCACCTTATGTTTCTTTCAAACAAAATATCGTTTATCTGCTTAAGCTATAGCTGTATTCAACAGATATAGACTTTCTATTCCTTATCATTGAAACATATTAATTCCCTCAACCTAGTAATTATATACAGAGGCCAATGTTTTTCAATATTTGATCACACTGAGTAAAACTGATTACTATCCTAGGAGACATAAGAGAATCAGAAGAGGCAAAATATTTTTCTTGTTAATGCTCACCTGAGGGTATTTTTCCATTGAGTTTTAGAGAGTAGAAGGGAGGGAGACAGACAGAAACATTGATGTGAGAGACACATCAATTGGTTGCCTCCTGCACGCTGGATCAGGACCTGGGATCAAGCCTGCAACTGAGGCTCGTCCATTGACCAGAATCAAACCCGGAATCCTTCAGTTCTCAGGCTGGCTTTCTATCCACTGAGCCAAACAGGCTGGGCCAGAACATTTTT